TTTCGACCTCTGTCCAGTGTTTTGCCTATAACTTTCCAACCGTTTGTCCAAAATTCACGTTCTTTATACGGTTGGATTCAGAACAGAAAATTCAAGAACACAATAAAAATACCCGCAAGTGCACGAATCTAATGAAGTATAGATTATGTAAGTACGGGGTCGCTCATCACGTCCAAATTTGAGTTTCGATTCTGCCAAAAACGACCGGTCGTCACTGTTCATGCGACCGGTCGTCACTGTTCATGCGACCGGTCGTCACTGTTCATGCGACCGGTCGTCACTGTTCATGCGACCGGTCGTCACTGTTCATGCGACCGGTCGTCACTGTTCATGCGACCGGTCGTCACTGTTCATGCGACCGGTCGTCACTGTTCATGCGACCGGTCGTCACTGTTCATGCGACCGGTCGTCACTGTTCATGCGACCGGTCGTCACTGTTCATGCGACCGGTCGTCACTGTTCATGCGACCGGTCGTCACTGTTCATGCGACCGGTCGTCACTTTTCATTTTTCACTGTTCACGATACTATTTACAGTACTGTTCACAGGTGATAAATAGGTGATAAAAGGGCGATAGAAAGTGCTGTTTGTGTTTTTCTTTAGTTTTCTTGTGTTGTTTCATTTCTTTTACACTTCCTTACTTATTTTTAGTTTCCATTTTGCATTTGTGCATTTGTGGTGTGTCAATTAAGTGTTCTTTACGTACTCAAATTAGAACTTATAGGAAGCCGACAAGTTCTTCGTGGGATCGACCTCGTACTTACATAATCTATACTTCATTAGATTCGTGCACTTGCGGGTATTTTTAATTGGTTGTTGCACATTAATTTGTGTCCTCTTAGGAATGCAACAATTTCTTGCTTTGTTGCCCTTGTCTTCCTCCTTGAGCTCCCTAGCTCCAAGCTTCATCTCCAGCTCCAAAATCTCTGCAAATTATGGAATGATTTTGATTGCAATGGCTGATGCTCTTTGCACTCCTTTTGCTTCCCTCTCTCCTCCTTTCCAGCTTTTACTTTTAGTATTCTAATGCAAAGTCTTCACCCATTGTCTTCTTGTCCCCTTGCAAATGATGAAGCCTTGTCCTCACAAAGATGCCAAATGCTTCAGAAAATATCTCATCTACTAAGGTAAATTCTTGTTACCAAGTGTTATGGTAACAAGAATAATCAAGATGACACAATGGAGGTAAAAGCTGGCCAATTCCGGATTTCCAGAGCTGTGGTAACATGCTGGATTGGTTGGATAGGCAATACTTGTCCAATGGAGCTCAAATTTGGATATGTTGTAGTTAACATCCATTGGAACAAGTCTCATGAAGATCATGACCTCATCCGAGCACCAGAGCATGTTGATCCCAGGCCAAGAAGTTGACCTACGAAAATGAACAAAAACAAAGTTTATAACCAATAATGCACTTTTAGCTCATTTTCATTCCAACCAAGGTAAAATCTAACAAAACACAAAAAGGAAGTAAAAAGCTATAAAATGTCAAGAACTAACTCAAAATAGTGGGTGAATAACATGAAAAATCATGTATAAAAATGAACCGAACATCTTTTAAAACATAACAACGGTTTTAAGATGCACCGTCGTCTACTTTGTGTCGTGGTTTAACTATTTTGTAGTAGCGTATTGACTAAGTATGAAAAATGATTTTTCGGAATAATCATTTTCTCAAGATAATTTTTGGCGGCTTTTATTCCTTACACATTAAATAAGAAAACTTGATTTTATGAGATTTTAGTATGAAGTATATATTCACTTAGTGAGCCATCATTTTTAGCCTAAATCATATTTTACACTAAAACCGATTTTTCATACTTTGATTTGGTGGGAATTTGATTTTCTAGTATTTTTATTTGAATCCAAATATGGAGTACTTCTTTATTTACATTGTAAACTTAAGTAAATAGAGTAATATAAAAATAAATTAAAGTAAAAGGACAAAGACATTTACTTAAATGTTGAAATTGGAAATAAGGTAATCTGTACACCTGGAGTGCACCACCACCAGCTGAGCAAGGGGGCAATTTGAAATACCTCATTGTGCCTTAATAGGTTCGCCACAACACATATGGGTACATATCAAAACGTAAAATATTTGAAATAATATACATATAGAAATACATAACAGTATATTACTTTTAAAATATAAAAAAACAAACCTTGAGTGGAGGCTCGAGACCGCACTGGTCCCAGTGTGGCTCCGCCCCTGCTGTTTGGAAATTTGCAAGCAGTCATGCTAGGGAGATTATATTTTATATACCAATTTGTGTACGATAATTTTTTGTACGGTGTACCATTTAATTACATGGGACATGCAAAAATATTTTATTTTTATGTCCTATGTGTATTGGATAATATTTCCACATATCTCATGTGTATTATGTGGTTCACCAACTAGCCGGAACATACAAAAATTACTCTGTATGTACCACTTTTCTAATAGAAATGGAATCCACTAATACAATGGGTCTCATTTCTATTAGAGTAGAAAAAAATTCATGAAACGGGAATAGAACTGTTTTGTTATCCCCAACCAATCACAGATTGACATGTGGAAAAATTATCACATGTGGCATACTGTGATTGACCGAGAATAATAAAATAGTGTTATCCATGTGTTCATGTTAGTGTAATAGAAGATGCAATATACAAGGTGGTATAAAATGTGATCTCCCTAGTATTTTCAATTTGCAAAATATGTGATTAATTAGGATTGTATATAAGATGTGTCATTTGCTTTTACAGATACGTACCATATTGTACGTCATTGCATATGCATGCTTATTTATTCTATATATATATATATATATATATATATTTTTTTTGGTTGATCTAAATTGATACGCAATATATAATTTTAATTTATGCCTAAAATATTTGATGCTTAAGTGGATTCTTTCAACCATCTCAATTCTTCTTGTAGAGTATCACTGTCATCGTGCTTGGTTTTCTTATTTGTAAACAAATAAATAAGTTCTGATAACTTGAGATGTAATTTAACAAGAATTGATAGATTTGACAGCAGAACCAGTTTGTCGCAGATTCAGACCTGTGGGGTTCTGGCGTGCTCGCATTATCCCTCTAAATTCTTCACCATGAAGTATGTGTGGTCAAAAGTGAAAGCGAGAGATTTGTTAGAAATTTTTTAATGCCTACATTAATAAATCATTTTGTTATAGCCTTTGTTGACAGTCAAATTAGTGATTATGATATGAGTGATGGCCTTTTGAAAGTGAAGTCAATATTATTTAGACAATATGTAAACGCGATGTATTTTCTATTATCGAATTAGTGATTATGATATGAGTGATGGCCTTTTGAAAGTGAAGTCAATATTATTTAGACAATATGTAAACGCGATGTATTTTTTATTATCGTTTTTTTAATTTTCATTCTATTTATAATGACATTCACACAAGAATAATATTCGAATATTCGAGTAAGAGAATAATTAGAGTCTTTTCGCGTTGGATGACTTTCATGGGTAAGTTAAACATCATGGTCTCTCCTTTCACACACTCAAGCTATCCCATTAGTGTGTATGTGAGAAAACAGGAAATTGAAATATTTTTATAGAGAAGGGAATTTGAAGGTGGAATATATATTTATGATCTTCTTGTAAATTGATGGCGTATATCACGTGGTTTGAACTCCTTTCTGTATAATTGAAACTTGATTCGTATATATGGGTTATGTAAGTTGACCATGATAATGAGTTTGAGTCCCTTTCTCGTATCGAAAAAACAATAACAATTGAGATCTGACTAGTCATGCACATGAATTTTTATTTAAATCTTTATATATTGAAAAGCATTGAGTAATGGCATTCTTGTGAATTTCTCTGGAGCTATCACTATTTGTCTGAGAAATTATTGTGTGCCCCTCTGAGGCCTTTTCGGGAAGAACACTATTTGCCTCTTTACCTGTAAGGAGATACTCCTTTTTCATGCGAATCACAATTTGACACATATGTAAAAATAATTCATCAAAAACACAAAAAGAAAAAGTTTGCACACATATCACACTGCTATTGACATGAATGTAAAAACTCCTACTTACATAGTAAGAAGGGAAGAACTGTCCTTTCGAGAAATATAGTAGAGGGAATATCCAAGCCAGAGACGGCTTTCTTTCTACTATATGCCAAGGAATGTAAAAGACTGAACCATGGAAGCTTTATAGTTGTCTTTGACAAAAGCAAACACCTTACTTTAATTCTTCTATAAAATAACACAAGTTGAAATTATTTGCTAACCTTAGATATTTCATAACTTTATGTTTAGGCACATGATGATGCACATAATTGAGATTAATTCCTGATAAATCTTTCTCCACAATCACTAACATATAGAGCCCATCCTAATAGAAAAATAATGCAAAGGTGAGTTAATCCAGTTGGTCAGAGTAGAGAGCCAAACCCCTTACACCCCTTTACACCCAAGTTCCTATTTCCTTCGGAATTTAGACTATATCACTTTGGATTTTTATTTTTATTTTTAAAATTAACGCCATGAAAATTAGAGCCTAAAAATACCTTCCTATTGTTGGTAGGTGGTCAAGTTCATTAGCTGAGAATCTTTTCAATAATAAATTGAATGGGGAGGCATGGTCAAAAGTCATAGGAGTTGATCAAACTTATAAGTTAATTGCTATGACCAAAGAAATAACAGTCAAGTCCTTCATCGTGCATGCTCCACCCTGTGCAAGAAGAGTGAGAGAGACCATGACAATGCATTCGGACGCGTCTTGACTTGGCACTAATTTTGATTAATTTCTTTAAATTAATGTTAGTCTAGAAGGTTTAACTAAAACCAACTTTTTTTTGTTAAAATGCACAAGTAAGCTAGATTCATAAATTAATAAAGCCATTTGCAAACTACGATGAAGGAACACAATACCATGAGTAGGACTGTTTAGGCGTGGCTTGTGTATGCACGGTGCAAGCCCAATGCACGGGCATGTCGAGAATGACACTCTTAAAACCGGTGATGTGCATGAAAGCTAAATTCACTTTTCTTGAAGCCCCCAATGGACAAGAAATGCCTTAAAGTTCAGTGAAAGCTCTGGTTTTGTTTATTTCCCTAAATTAAGTATGCTTAGCAACTAATTTAAACAAATTAATTGAGTGTTGCAGAAATCTGGAGGGCCACTTGGGGGAGGCGGCTCTCTCAGCAACCTTAGAAAGAAGAAGACGCTAAAATTACAGCCTGACCATACACTATTTAAAAAAAGGTACTTCAAATAATCCAAAAGGAGCGGCTGCCCAGTGCCTTCACAAGCTCAAAAATAATTGAACAAGGAAATAAAGTGCTTGGATAAAAATAAATTAGCATTAGAAACTAGGTCTATGCTAAGCTAGCACCAAATCTCAGCTGCAGCTGCCATTGCTAGTCCCCAAGTCTGGAACTGGTAGGCCACTTTTAGTCCCTGGACTATTAATCCTCCATCCATCATGGCCTTTATTCTCCACCATCCCTAATTGTCCAAACCCAGCTGGGTTCCCACAGAAACTGTAATTACCATAATTTGCCAACTCTGCTGGATGCCAATATGCCCCTGGAGTCTGTAGAAACGGCGGGAGCTGACATGGATGGCAATGCACACTTGGTGCAGGCACAGCTGCAGCAGGAAGAGTAAATGGCAGGGTTGATGGTAGACTCATAGGGTAAGATTCTGGTCTCCAATGGAAATTGAACTCTGGAGAAGGAACTGAGATTCTTGGCAAAGGAGAGGTAACTTCAGCTAGTGAAGGATAGGATATGTCCCGGAACTGGTTTTGTGCTTGAACTTCTAAGGTGGGATAAAGAGATTGGACTGTATTATCAGCAGGATCAGGAACACTGGTTACTGATTCAGAAGAAGAACCAATCTCCTTAGAATCATGAACTCCAATGTTGCTTTTGTTCTTCTTCTTCCTAATCACTTTGGAAGAAAAATTCAAGACCCCATTAGGCTTACCATCACAAGTCCGAACCTGATAGCTCAGAAACCTGACTGCCTCATTGACCTCATCAAGCAAATCCGTGAAGGGCACCCGGACTTTTCCCAGACTTTTCTTGCCAAAAAGGATGCCTTCACAGCGCATGTCGAATTTGACGTAAAGATGATCCAACTTGTCAACCAGAGACATGTCTTTGATGTCGAAGTGCACCGTGTGGTTCCATTCTGGGTTGCCGTCGCCGTCTCTGTCAACCGGTGTTTTCTGCCGCTGCAGATGTTGTTGCTGCTCATCTTTCTTCATTTCGTCGTTGAAGATGGAGACCACGGCGTAGACCGACAGCTTCTGGAAGAAGTTGAAGGCTTTGAGATCCTTACAGGAGATGAGCTTCAGTTCTATAGAGCTGCAATCTGTCAGGTTCTTGATTTTCTCATCTGTGGCCATCCTGAAAGCATAAGACAGAGGAAAGAGAGAGCTCTGTTTTGGGTTTATAGCCACCATCAATAATAACTTGTACGGAGCCAGAGCATTTGGAAGATGGGAACAAATCGCACAAATAATTCAGAAACGTAACCTCCAAAAATGGGACAGGCGGCATAGAGAAATTAGGTGCGAGTTTGCATCATTGACCATTTACCGTTGATTATACGATAACGACCACCAGCTTTGTATGTGAACCGAAAGCTTTTAGTGACACTAGTCTCTCGACTCTTTGCCCATTTCGACAACAAGAACACAAAGCTTTTAGTGACACTAGTTACAAAGCTTTTACCGTTGATTCGTAATGTCCATGAAGAGAAAAAATGGTAAGGGTTGTTTACGGTCGTGTCCAATATTGACAAACAGAGGAACGACCAACAACCATGATATGAAGCTCCTAAAACAAGGTCACTTGCTAATGTCATTAGTCGTACGTCAAGATTTTACAATGTATGGTCACACAGTCATAATAAAACATCTGACTTTCAACCTTCCAAGTACCAATCAATCCCAT